AATCATTTCTCCTTCTCTCTGACTGCATTCTTGCAGCCATTGAGAACCACTGTGAGAGCTGTGATTGGTCAAAGCTTGTCACATGGTACAAGGCTGTTGTGAATAGCCTTGTACCATGTGACCTCTGACATCATTGCTTACTACGTATGAAATCTGTGAATGATCACAAAGTGACATCTTGCTTACTACTCTGCATGTGATCACTGATTGGCCAATCAGTGATCACATGATCGGGACCTCGCACAGAGGTCCCGTACGGCGATCAGTGTTTCACTCTGTCCGGAGGACACAGCGGGCTCCGAATCGCGGTGCTGCGTGCTTCCAGGGAGCGTGCATAGCTTGAAAATGCGGGTGCTGTTTATGAATGGCAACCCACCCCGGGAATGCCACCATCCGGCCATTTATAAACAGCGGCCGGACGGGAAGTGGTTAAAGTAGAACTATTGGCAAAACTTTTCATTTTTTTTATTTTGGATAGAGCAATGAAGGGTTATAACCTGTCAGATATTTTTTTTTTTTTGCATCTGTGTCCCATTGTAGAGATTTCCCTTCATTTCCTGTCCTATAGCCATGAAGTGAGGGGAAATCCCTACAAATTAAAGGAATTCCTTGCCCCCTTCCAGATCACCGGAACTAGTGTCCCCATTTTGAGATTTCCTTCTAATATTTTTCTGAGGACAACCCAAAATTGGGGATTTTATTTTACTTTCAACGAAAATGATAAACAGGACAAATAGGGTGGATCGTCATAACGGGGGCACAGACAGCAATAAAAACTGACAGGGGCTTCAACCCCTTTCCACTCCATTCAAAACAAGTTCGAAAAAAGTTTTGATTCTAGATCTACTTTAAAGTAGAACATTAGTCAGAAAAAAATTCCTGCTAGATCACTTCAAGTATAACTAAAGGCACAACTTCTTCTTTTTTTTTCCCCCAGTTTTAGAGGGGACATCTTCCAATAGGGACACTAGTTCTGGTGATCTGGGGGGCCCCACGGAATTCACATAATTTGCAGAGATTTCCTCATTTCCTGTGGAACAAGAAGTGAAGGGAAATCTCTGCAATGGGACACAGGTGGGGAAAAAAAATCTGACAGAGGGTATAACCCTCATTTGCTCCATCCAAAATGGAAAAAAAAAAAGTTTTTCCTATAGTTCTGCTTTTATGCTGGCCCCTTCTGCAGGTATAGCTATGTAAAACATTAAAAATAAGTGTCTATACTGTTTAAAATCAAGTAATACACGGTCTCTCTGTGCTGTGCACATGCTTTGTTGCTCTCTGTTTTTAGGCACTAGGCTTGCAGTTGCAGCACTGTATTCCCATTTAAACGCCCACTTTGACTGTCAAAGCAAAAAGTGGAAAAAAAAAACCCCCAGACATTTTGGAGATGGCAGTATCGCCTTCTCTGAAAAGCGAGCAAGTGTAAACCATCCCTTACCACCTCACACTGCCATTGCTATATGGGTGCTTTTGTGTACCCTCTAACCTGGTGGCCTGGGGCACATACCCTTAATTAGGTGTTGATGGGAATTGAATAATATATCTGGTGTCACAGGAAAGGTAATGAGAACACCTTGGAAGATTGGTGTCAGGATCATCAAAGTAGTTAAGAATGTGAAATTGTCTCCTTTTCTAAGTGATGAGCCAAGTGTCAGTTGTGTTTCATTTTGCTAGACGCCCTTCTAATTTGTGGTTGAAATGATACAGATCAGTGTCTGTGTTAACCCATATTGATTGATTTTGAATGTTTCTATTATATATGCACTGATATGCTCTATTCCTCTCTACAGCTTCACCTAGTGAACATCTGGCTCATTTTAACGTTGTTACATTTATAAAAGATACTTTAAAAAACAGATCACTTCCTCCTAGAAATGTCATATTGATAGTGATTTCTGAGAATCCATAGTCCAAGTTGTAGATGTGACCTATTGATCTGTTCATTGATCATTCAAGTCCTCACGCACACTGGACGTTTTTACAGCGGCTGTTTTTGGCTTTAGACGTTTTTTTCTACAGCCAGTAAACTCCCCAGCATGTTATCCTATGTGTCCATGCACACATAGACTGGAATCAATGTTTTTTGGCTGGAAAAAAAAAAACCACAGAACTAGTGTTCTGTGCTGAAAAACGTGGCAAATCGTGGCAAACCAGCATTTTTTGGACGTTTTTTGACCAAAAAAAAAAAAAAAAAAAAACTAAAAAATACAAACGCGAACATACGCAGCTAAGCGCTAATACATAAGCTGAATAACTCATGTTATTAAAATGCCCAGTGTGCATGGAGCCTTAGTAGTGGTACACCAAACTGAAACCAAGCATTCAGGATTCACTTGGTTGAAAATGGAAACCAAAATGGACAATTTTTTTTTTATATATAATTGTATTTGACTTTTTAATTTAAAATCATAAATTTGAATGAAAATTAATTGAAAAATACAGTCCAGTAACATACATTAACTTTTATTGAAAGTAACACAAAAATTGGACATAAAATTAAATGTATATAAAATTAAAAACCGTAAATATACTGCACAATAATTTAAATCTATTCTCAAAGTAATTTTTTTTTATTTTTGGAAAATAACAAACATATCTTGGTTTTGCACAGAGCAGCCTGGATCCTCCTCTTCTCGGGTCCTTCACAGGCTCTCCTGACCCTTCGCTCCTGTATGGTGCTCCCACAGCAAGCAGCTTGCTATGGGGGCACGCGCTGCTCTGTGTGTCCATTCACACACAAAGCCACGGTTTTGCCCTGTCCCCCTCTTCTTGGGTCCCCCACAGGCTCTCCTGCCGGGTGCCCCCACAGCAAGCAGCTTGTTATGGAGCATCCACTGCTCTGTAAGTCCACTCACACACGGAGCCGTGGCTTGGCCCCCCTCTCCTCATTGGCTGACTGACTCTGACAGCAGCAGGAGCCAATGGCTGCAGCTTGCTTTCTCAGCCAATGAGGAGGCAGAGACCCGGGACAACCAAGGCTGTCTTGCACATCAATGGACTGCGATGAGGCTCAGGTAAGTATTGATGGGGCTGGGGGCACTGCTGCACACAGAAGATTTTCTAACGTCATCTATAGAATGCATCAAGGTAAAAAACCTTGAGCCCTTACAACCACTTTAAGAAAAAAAACATGGCCATTATCGGCACTTTTTCTTTTTTCCTATCAGCAAAACTCCAAAACCCTATATTCTGCCCATCTATCGGTGCAGTAAAACATCTGTCACTGCAGATAGTGTGAATTTACCTTCAGAGTTGTTAATTATTGCCTCTCCTTCCTTTTTTTTTTTTTTTTTTTTCCCTTGGAGCTGACAGAGACCCCCAAACAAACCTATAGTTAAAATATCACTTTTGTGTGGCCTAACTCTTAGCGCCTATTCACTCTCCCCAGTCTATTCTATACCAGTCACTCTATACACTCCACTCTGCAAAGTGATCTCTTTCAGGGGCTGTGTCTTGCATTGTTACAATGCTAGGAATGTTTAACCTTTTTTTTTCTGAACCCTATTGAACTATAAGGGGACGCTAATTCATTTCTGTGCATCTCAGCTTGGATGCATGGAAACAGTCACAGACAGAGCTGTAGTATGGTGTAGAAATAAGCGGCCGTGCTGCAGCAATCTTTAGCGCCTGCATTTAAGACTGTATTCACACTTGACGTTTTGTAGCTTGAAGCTCCAAAACGCTCAAACTTAAAAAATTGATTGTTCACTATGGTGCCTGTTCACGCGATCAGGTGTGAACAGGCACCATAGAGAACAATTGTTTTTTTAAGTTTGAGCTTTTTCGGAGCTTCAAGCTACAAAACGCTCAAGTGGGAATTGAGTCTTAAGGGTACATTCACCCTGGCAATTTACAGTGAGAATTGTAGCAGCAAGAATCTTCTGATTTCTGCTGCTGCTGTTGTGAGCCGCTAGCTGTGTCCACTGGGCCCATTGACCCATACAATCTCATCTCTTTGATAACGTGCTGGTGCACGAAACACGTCGGGGAAGAGCCTACCAGAGTGACGTCACGCCGCAAGGAAAGCCGGTGGCCATTTTACTTGTGCTTTGATACATGTGAGTGCCTTTCATTTTCATAATCTGCTGGAGTCCTAATAAAATACTACACTATCAGTACTCTATCTGTCTCTGGCTTGTTATATGCGAGCCCCTAAGGTGGAGATTTCCCCCAACTTCTGATGCCTCTGATCTGGTGGTCTGACGTTAACTTGGAGCTGTCCCTGGGATCAGAGTGTGTCCTATGAGGGAGTGGTGTTACCCTGTGTGCCTATGGTGTACCTGATGACCCCGCAGCCCCTGCCCAGACCCAGATGACCACTGGTGGATTTGTATACACATGCACATATCTTTTGCGCTTCTGGTAAATGCATTCATATTACTGGCCCTCGCCATAGAGATCACCAGCACGGATCACCATTTTATATCTGGACTTGATTTGCATTTTCCTCTTATGATGCACTACAGTCACTTTATTTATTGACTTTATTTGTTTGATACGTCACTAAGAGACGATTCACCACGATACCACTTTATAAGCGCTGTAGAAGTGCTCATTTCCTACAATTTATTATTGTTGTTCATCATTTTTAGTGCTGCATTTACATTCTATTGCCCCATACAATATAATGAAAGGTCGCCAGTGGTCTCTGCACAGCCACCAATTACTTGTGGTGGTCACCATTGGATGCACACGAAAAGCTGCGGCTGCCGGCGACCATCATTACTATGAATGGAACTGGTTGCTGCAGCTAGCCGCGCACAGCAGAAACAACAGGAATCAGAAGTTTCCTGTCCATGTGAATGTAGCTTAATGTGAACAGGGAACATAGAAAACAATTGTTTTCTGTCTCCCCCTGCAGAGGCCAGCACTTTTCTAGTGCAGAAACCACTGGTGTTCACACAGGTGTGAACACGCCATTGGGTAAACTTGACAGGTGGCTACTAGCTGTTACAGGAGATAAGCAATGGCAGTGTGCACGGTCCTCTACTGGTTTCCTTTAACCCCCCTGGTGGTATTCCCGAGTGTAGCTCGGGGTAAAGTTTAAGTACCAAAAGCGGTAACCCCGAGCTACACTCGGGCTTATCATGCAGCGCTGCTCTGGGATCTGTTCTTCTCTTACCTTGTCCTTCACTCCCGCAATGTCCCTTCTGCAGTGTTCCCGGCAATGTTCTCCGGCGCATGCCGGCATCTGTCTTCTGGGTTCCGTCCCCTGCAACGTCGGGACGTACGGGGGATGGAACTGGCGGAAATTTGAAAATGACAAAAAGTGACATTCACTAAATACACTAAAATCACATAGTATTCCATTACTGTATCAAAGCATTTCACATACATTTTGTCCCGAGTGCTTTGTCCTGTGCCCTGCCTGCATTTTTACTGTTCTTTCTGCCTGGAAACTGAGAAATGTCCATGGCGTCCAAAAAGTGTCCCTTTAGGTCAAAAGCAGTTTTAGACCAGCTAGAGAACAGCGATAGTAAATTAGAATCACTTGCAGAATTGAGTGATAATGATTTGTGGGGAAATTCCTCATCAGACACTGAAAATGATTTTGCGACTTTGCTCAGTGATGCGCAAACTATATTTAAAAATTCAGTTTTTTTGGTTTGTTTATATTAAATTTTATTATTATTAGATATTTTTTTATGATTATTTATTACATTTATAATTTATGATTTCGTGTTTCAAGTTTTATCATACCCGGGATGTTTACTAGACTCTTGTTCGGACAGATTTCAGTGAGTTATTCCTAAAAATTACAGGCCTACAATAAAAAAAATACATATTTCCATGCAAAAAAAAATGTACGGCTTTGAGCACAGAAATACTGACATAATCAGACTGCTAGGGAGGTTAAAGTGGATCTAAATCCAAGAACTAACATTTAGTATATTGTAGCTAACCAGACCTTAGATGTGCTGGCTGCAGTAAATGCCTTTTCATTTTTTTGCCACCTAGTGTTCCTGCCATTGACACACTTCCTGTCCTAGAGTGACCATACTAAGGCCGGCCATACATGGGTTGAAATTCGTCCAATTTTTGTCCGAAAATCGGACCTAAGAATAATTGGCCAATTTTCGCTATGTTAGTGGGTTAATGGCACCGGCCGATTTTCGTGATTCCTCCCCTTTTCAGCGATCGGCATGTTGGAAAATTCGTGGAAAATTACTAATTTTCGACTCGATAGTCAAATCGTACAATCGTTTTTCCCAAAAGAAAATGCACATGAGCCGTAACTTCCTTAACTCCGCATAGCTTGTGTGTATGTGGGGGTTTGTGAGGTTTTTTTATTTTTCCCTGTTCAACCTCCTGATTTATTAATTGTACAGTATCTATACAGGAGCGTTGTCACTATAGGACAGTAGGTTTGTTAGGACTACAGATTGCCTCCCACTCTCCTCATTGCATACCATGAGAGGAAGTTTTCTGTAGTCCACAAAAGAGAACACTAAAGAGCACGCAGGATAGCAGTAGATTTTTGACAGAATCAATAGATAAAACAAGACTTTCCTGCATTTTTGCCCCGTTGACCCTTTTAACCACTTCCATACCGGGCACTTTTACACCCTTCCTGTCCAGGCCAATTTTCAGGTTTCAGCGCTCACACTTTGAATGACAATTGTGCGGTCATGCAACACTGTTTTTTTTTTTTTTTTTTTTTTTTTACACAATTTGATTGCTTTATAGCAAAGAATTTAACTGAATGAAACCGATTCAATCAGGTTTTTTTGTTGTGGTTAGCTGTGATTGGCCACGGCTAATCACATGACACAGATGGGCTGTAATTGGCCCGGCCTGTGCATGTGATCACTGTGACCATTCACAGCTGGACATGCTTGTATACAATGGATGGCATGGAAGGAAGCCATCCATTGTATACAACTGTCATGTGACCTGCTTTGATTGGCCTGTCTTCCATCACAGCAGAAGGACTTGTAGTTCTCAGTGGAGCCCAAGTGCGGTGATGAGCACACTCCTAGTCCATTGACCCTTCCTATAGCTCACTACATACATAGAGCTGGAGGAAGAGTCTGCAGCAGACTGTACAATGCACCAGCAACCCACTGATCACAAAAGCATTGCAGACTCCTATGGCAAAAAAATAAATAAGTAAAAAATACTAAATGCACTTTTTTTAAAAAAAATATTTTGGAAAAGGTGGACTTAGCCTTTAACAGACCAAAAGGGAGCCAATCTGCCTGGATACAATGACATCATCCCCTCCTTTCCCTATTGGCCAGAATAATTTTTGTTTCCCGGTCATGTTCTGTAAAGATGGTTATCCTATTAGTCACCAAGAGGTATAACCAGAAATTCCAGGTGGGAACGCTTTGTGCTGGTCTTGGAAGGTTAGAAGCTGTCATCTGGTGGTTTACTGCATTGGCATCTGCCCACAAGTGACTTTTCATCAAGCTCTGGTCTCTGGTCCCTGATTTTTACCATCTGCATCAATGTATGAGCAACGATGAGTGATCACTTGTAACATACTGAGCTAATAGCCAGCGCACAGTTAGGTCCTATTCATATGTGTCTGAATGCATCTCCGCTAGAAATTCCAGTACTTCCTATAGGGCTGGTTCACATCAATGTGCTGCAGTTTAGTGTGTTTTAAAGGGAAACTATATTCCAACGTGTTATATACAGTACTCTACTAAAGCCCGGTACACATGGGTTTGAAGCAAGCTCATGGCTGCTATTGCAGCCGTAAGCTTGGTGTGGATTCTATAAAATTATAAATATGTTATCCTACAATGTGAAAACTAGAAAGTCCAAAAATTAGTAAAGCCCAGAAAAATTCATTAAACCGCACAAGTGTCCTTCATAAAGTCATAAAGGTGATTTCACAAAATTGTCCAAATGTTAGAGCCTCCCAAGGGCTTTCACGATCAAAGTCACCTCAAAAAGAAAAATCATACATAGTGCATTATCCTTCTAAAATAAATACTACAAATCAATGTGTCAATTCACTATACTGTATAGTATTTTGGTAAGGGTATTTACTGCTTTTATTAGAAGTGGACACTGGTTTTTTCACTTGTTTTTGGCACCTTTTGAATGGTTCACGAACACGTTTTATGCACTTATTTTCACTGAAGAGGGATCACGTGTGTTACACAGTATAGTGAATTGACACATTGATTTGTAGTATTTATTTTATAAGGATAATGCACTATGTATGATTTCTTTCTTTTTGAGGTGACTTTGATTGTGAAAGCCCTTGGGAGGCTCTAACATTTGGACAATTTTGTGAAATCACCTTTATGACTTTATGAAGGACACTTGTGCGGTTTAATGAATTTTTCTGGACTTTAATCATTTTTGGACTTTATAGTTATTTTCACATTGTAGAATAACATTTGTTTGGGTGGCATATTTATTAATGATATATTTTACATCTTCAGGGGTGAAGGTGAAATTTATGCTATTAGGGTTATGTTAATTTAACCCATTTAATTTTGGAGTGGTATTACTATTATTTGGTGTGGATTCTAGCAGCCAGTGAAGAGCTTTAACTACTTGCGTACGCAAACATCTTTTGATGATCAGGGTGATATCTTGGTCATCACTGCAGCAAGATATCATTTTTTTTAGCGCTAGGGATTCTGCAGTGTAAAAGTAGTCTGGATTACTTTTTCAGGCAGTGGAAGGGGGTCATAGTTGTTAGAGTTGCTTGTGCTCTTAACAAAACCATCAGAATATCAAACAACTGGTGTCATAACTGAGCACATGTGCAACACCATGGCAACTGCAGATCAAACAGAGGCTAAGATGGCAGCTCCCTTGGCTGTAATGGATAGGAGGGCTTACTTCCACTGTAACATAATTGTAAATGTTCTCTCTTTCATATAGAAGGATTAGATTTTCTCTTGTATATACATTGGATGTTAAAGGCTAAGTTCACTTTTTTAACCTTTGTTAACCTCTTCGTGCCGGTGCCTCCCAGCCCTTTAAGAGTTTCAGAAGGCGGGCGGGGTTTTAGGGTCACGTGACTGCCGTGATTCACCGTCACGGCGGTCACATGATCAGAAAGGGGAGATCAGGACCTTTCCGTGAGATGCAGACATGTGTGCTGGGCGCGCGCTCTCAGCACATGTATTTTCTAATTGCACGCAAATATGCGACCGCTCGGTGTTGAGGGGTTAAACCAGCCCTTGCCTAAGTGTCCTGTTGAAACTCCTCCATTAGCCGTCCTCAATTTGGTATTCAGGATGGGAGAACCAGTAGAAGGAAATAGTTCATCAGCTGACCTCAATAACACACCCTGCACCTGTCCTCCTCCACCCACCTCCACAGGTTTATGCATTTCCATTGCAGTCGGTGATCACTGTTCTTACTAAATATACAGCCATCATATTTTTTCTTCCTCCCTATTTGACCTTCATCTTGCATAGATCGTTCATTTGGCAGAGTGTGCAGGAGCTGAGCGATCACAGCCTATATGGATAGAGCTGTAGTATTGTAAATAGTAGAAGTGTGTCATGGAAGTCATGTAAGCTCACCATACACTATACAATCTGATTGTACAGTCTCCTTTTAGCTCTACCATCAACTATGTAATTGAAAAGCCTGTTTGTTTTGGATAGTGATTAGATAGATGGTGTTTCATAATTATGTTGCTTTGGCAAATCCTAAAGGAGATTGTACAGAGATTTTGCAATCAGATTGTGTAGTGTATGGCCACCTTTTAAAAATGTAAAGTTAACTAGTTGCATTTTCGGTGACCTTAAAGTAGAACTATGGACAAACTTTTTTTTTTTTTTATTTTTTTTTATTTTGCATAAAGTAAGGGAGGGTTATAAACACTGTCCACTTATTTTTTGCCATCTGTGTCCCATTGTTGAGATTTCCCTTCACTTCCTGTCCAATAGCCAAAACAGGAAGTGAGAAAATCTCTATAAATTAAGGGAATTCATTGGGGAAAATCATGGTTGACATAAGATCACTGGAGCCTGTTACACATGGAGGGAAGAGATAGGCAAACTGATGGTAAGATATGGGGTGGGGGGGACTGAGGAATTTCTAGTATACAGCTGGATCCTTTTTTGTTTTAGAAATGATGTGACAAATGTGCTTTGTAAATTGATTTCTTTTGTACATCAGTATCATAATTTTCTACATCATGCGCTCATTTCCTTTAACCCTTTAGAAGGTAACATGTATTCAAGCGTTGAACTAAATTCATCTCAGAGTGAAGTCTTTAGTGTGTCTTCTGTTTCCTCCGCTGTGTAATAGAGGACATCTGCTGGGCTAGCTTCAAGTAGCTACTGTGCGTGCCCAAAGTGCACCAAATAAAATCTATGAAACAATTGTTTAGAGAGAGATTACACTTCGCATTC